CCTATCTGGAGCGGGGAGAGCAGGGCCCGTTGCTAACGGCGAGCCTGAAACAGCGCGAATGTTCCCTACAGCTCCTCACTTCTGCTGAAAATTTACAGACCCCGCCGAGCATCTCTCGACCGCCCCTCAGACACGCACCCAGCCGTTCGCAGGCGCAGCCCTGCCCGCGTGGGGCCAGGCCGAGCAGCCCCCACTGCCGGAAGCCCCCTGGACCCCGGCTGGACCCCAGCACCAGTTCTGAGACATCAGACCTTGTCTGGGGATGAACGGCCTGAAGGCTTCTGACGGCAACCTTGTTCTGCCATAACTCCAGCTGCAGCGTGTGTTAGTGATAGATAACTTCATTATGTCAATTTATTTCAAGGTTAATAAAGGCAGAGAGTCTTGCTTATAGTCCGCATAAATTCAGAGACGCAATAATAAAAGCGTGGGTTGCCTGGCTGATAGGTAACGACACCACTGGATACTAGTTTGATTGCAGTGCCCACTTGTGCCTTTTGTGTTGTTTTTTCACTGGTGTTTAGGAGAGGTAACGGGGAGAAAGCTTTACATCCAGAGGGAATTGGATGCTGTCGTACCCTCCTATATTCCTGTCATCTCCCGTTCTATAATTCTAAGTATCTTTTAAGAGTAGAGTATTGGGAACTGTGTTATTTTGGTAGGTACTGATTGCTGCACTTCGGCTAGAACTGCTTAGTTTTCAGTCTGACTCCTTTTTCTAATTCTCGGGTTTTTTCTTTGCCCGTGGTGACATTTGAAAATTATATTTGAATAGTGAAAAGATTTGTTAGAGAACATGTGCTACAGATAGTGTTTAAAGATACACTGGAGCAGAGTGAGCGTAATGCTAATTTTCCATGACAACTAACTTGTCCAAACAAGCAGGGGATAACTGCCTGGACTTGTCCGTTGGCCAAGCATAGATTCTCAGCAACCATGTCACCTTGTAAAAATTCCAGCAAGGGTTTAAATCTACTTATTTGTGTGATGACGGATTTCAAGGCAAGATTGTTACCCCTCTGGAGCATAAAGCTCAAGGTCTAGCAAGGGGCAGCGAAGCTGCCAGAATTTTGCACAGTGTGCTCACCTCCTGTTAGCACCAGAGTTTCAAGGCAAACAGAAATCTGGTTTAAGTGGAATGTCCTGCCACCGGCAAAGTCAGATATCTGCTTGCTTCCACCCAGCACCCCAATTCCTGAGATCCTTAGCTAGCTTCATCATTAAGAGAAAATTACATCTCCACAAAAATGCAGGAGGATGGAACCAAAAAGCTACGTTCAGTTGATGTAACACTGAGCAGCGGTATTATCGGTGGTCAGTCTTGTCCTGATTTAATTCCTATACAAAATGCATTTTATGGAACTGAAGCAAAGCAAAGCGTTTATGTAGTTCTCCCCAAAATATATCACATTATTGAGCCTTGTCTTAAGCGCACATTACCATTTTGCTAAGGCTGTGTGCCAATTAAAGTGCTTTTTAAATTAGGTCTAAATTTTCTACACTCCAGCACTCACCAAACTGGTAACTAGGACTCTTTTTCCACTACACAACCAACAAACATCTTGTGACCAACAACTCTGAGATTAAATTGGGGTTCTTGGAATAATGTCTTCCCTTAGCAATTCATCAACTGCTAAGGATTAAAAAAAAAAACCAAACAGTTCCTGTCTAGAATTTTTATCAGTCTTCAAGGACAATCTTATCTTGTTTTTCAGACAGACTAATCTCAAGTAAGGGGAGGCTGCGAGTAGGTGAAGCACGCTGTCTGTGCTTGCTTAGGGAGACGGGGGGATACTTTCTGACAGGCAGTGCTGCGCAGCTTGTGTCCTGTTTGTCACTAGTTTGTCACTAACACAGCACATGCTATGTCATCAACATGCATAATTATTTTCTTATGCTTGATAATTCACGACAAGTATAATTAAAAAGTTTTACTTGAAGGGTGAGTAATAAGCTCGTGTAGTTACAAGAGCTGACTTCCCCACTATTTCAAGGTCGTAAACAGAAAAGGAGACATCTTATGGCAAGACCCTGCCTGAGTATTTTATTTATAATGCTACAGAAAAGATCTGCAGCAGGTGTAGCCAAACTGCCTGAATTGGAGATACCCACTTTACATTGTGGCTAACTAACATGATATGAGACCCTTTTGAATATAAATTCAGATTCTAACTGTAGACATTTCATTGTTTAACGCTTGCAAGCTAAAGTCTTTTCTGAGATGGATCTGGTCTATCTATAGGCGCGTATGCCAGAGCAAAGATGGGTCGCTGTGCTGCAGGGGTGCCCAACTCACGTGAACAGATGGACTGTGAAAGACACTGATTTCAGATTTTTGTTCCTCACCGTAGTTCTTTTTTTTTTTCCCAACATGTCTTACTTACCCTTTGCTGGCTGCTGCCTGGTCAGCATCCAGCACATACCTGCAGTGGTCCCAAGTTCCCAGATGCTGCTCAGAGGCATACGTGGCCAGGGTTTGTCAGGTCTCATCTCCAACCCGTGTGCTGCTTCTTGGCTGTCGGATAGGTTAACCTCATGTGCTGTCTACCAGCTGCTCCCAGACAAAAACAAAAAAATCGAAAAGAAGCCTCTGGGGCCTTACACTGTGCTGATGGATCCTTTCCGAAGCCTTATGCTGCACCTCTATCAGTGTAACACAGAGCTGCGATCAGTCGTGTGCTGCAGACTGCTGAGCACGGCAGGATGAAAGCACAGGGGAAAAGGATGCTGAAAGGCAGCTAGGGCACGCGTGGCTCAGCGGGGCCTTCTGCCAGGCCGGGCTGCTGCAGCCGTGACCCACATGCCAGGCAGAGGGACAGCACGCTTTTGTGCAAATACAAGAAAAAGAATTTTGTTGTTTTCTTGGCATTCCTGTTTTGTTGTGTAAGAAAAAGCACATTGATAAGAAATCCTCTTGCCAGTAATAGCATATTTGGTTCACAGAATTTATACTTTATAAGCTAAGACCTATCCCAATAGAGAGGTCTGTCAGTACCACAACCAGAAACTTCTTGCCATAAATGACACCCAAATTCTACTAAATGAAAAGGGGACGCGGCCTTCCTGAGGGCATTTTTGGCCAGACACTAATGACAAGCAGGAATCAAGAGCAAGGCTCGTAGCAGCGGTGGGAACACGAAGACCACACATGATGCTTGCAGCTATTTATCGGTGAACACTGAGCTGTACTTTGCTGCTAAAACTTGTCTTTCTGGCATCCAGGAGCTATGGTTTTGAGCTGCCCAGGGCTGCGCTGCCCTTCCCAACAACCCCAGCCGCCCTACGGACTGGGTGGCATGGCAGGCGTTCTGCAGCTTCACTTGCGTGCCCACCCTGGCCTCAACTACCTGCAGCATTTTATGGGTGCTTTGGATATGAGATTGGCAGTTTCCTCCATTTCCATAACTCCTGATTCAACCTTGTTTATTTTGAAAAACGTAAAATTACTTCAGGTGGACTGATGGTCTCAAACAAAATGTTTTTCTAGCAGCTGTTCAGGAGCTCTTACCTCCCTCCCGTAGGCACTCAGTTCAGGTGTGCCCTGCTCTTGCGAGCGTTAAGTGCAAGCTGCTTCAAAACCACCTGGAGCTGGAACCATCCCACATCAGAAGTTCTGCTTTTGTTTAGTTGGCGTACGCATTCCTTCGTGCATCTGGGAGACATGGGTAGTCTGGCTGCCCAAATCTGGTTCCTACTTGGTAGCAGCTCAGTCAGCCACAAGCAAAATTACACAAAACAATTGTGTCTGCCTTCTGAAGGGAGGCCAGCTGGTAAAAATATAAACCAATTGTTTTGAACTTCTGCTTAGAAGTGCTTGATGTCTAACATGGAATGAAAGGTTCGGGTGGGTTTTTTCCCCTCCAGTCCAGTTTCTGTTTAGTCCTCACATTTAGAACTCATGGAACGATTCTAAGGACAGAAAGGGAAAGATCTCAGGAAAAGGCTCTTCTTACTCTCAGCAGTTTTGGCTAGAAACATCACTGAGTGAAGAAAGGTGTTTTTCTTCTACTCTTGTTAAGCAGGGGTGAAGTATGTGGCTAGATTGTGACCATTTCCTGCTTTACTAATCTGTAGCTGTGAAAATTAGATAATCCAGTGATGTCTCCTTCTGTAGGAGTACTTGATTGTGTGTAAT